CTCAGCGACGGTCAGGACGAAAGACCCAATCATTGCGGAACAAGTGGCCATCGCCTTAGCACTCAAGATGGATAACATTGAAGTGGTCTACAGTGATTCCATGGCAGCACTACGGGCGTTCGCCAAGGGGACGGTCTGTGAACAAACGCTGAAAATACTGCAAGGCAAGAACATAACACATCATCTTCTGAGTTGGTTCCCAGCTCACCTTGGACAAATCAACGATTCCCCTCCCAATCTCAACGAAGCAGCACACGAGGCGGCGCGAGAACTCTCCAACCGCGCCTCCCCGGGGATGCGTTCTAGCGGTGAAGGGGATAACCGGGAAATTCTTACAACATATAACGAGCTCACTAAACATTTCTACCTGTCTAGAAGGATTTTCCCTCCACCTCACAAAAATCTAACCCGGCCCCAAGCACTTACATTAAGGCTTTTGCAAACGCGGATGTACCCTACTTTGAAAATGTTACAGATCATGTACCCTGACCTATACCCAAGTAATCTTTGTCCACATTGTGGGGAAATAGCTTCATTAGAACACATGCTCTGGCAGTGCACCAAATTCGCTCATTTATCGCACATCACCTCTGCCAGATGGGAGGCGGCAATCCGCAGCTCGTCCTTGGCAGATCAGCTCTGGGCTGTCCACCAAGCCCGCGAGGCGGCTGAGGAGCTTGGCATCTCAGTCCCCACGTGGGAGCTGCCCGCAACACAGTGATCTGTGTTTTGGAGGACCAAATAAAAGTTTATCCAATCCAATCCAATCGGCTATCCCAACTCCACACTTAGGTCCACATCTCTTCTTCAGCCGGCTGCGTCTCTTCGCATTTTAGGAATTCTATACAACCACTACGGCATTTGTAACTCCGTTTGGTCAAACGCCCTCGATGAAATAAAACAAGAAATTGAGAACGCCCGGGAATTCGACTTCCCGCTTCTTGAGCGGAGGTATCTTGCGCAGACTGTGTTCTGCGGTCGCATTTGGTACCTTTCTCACGTGAAACAGCCGCCTTTACGCATCGTGAGGTCATTGCAGTCTGCCTTGTGTTCCTTCTTTTGGTCTGGCGGCACTGAGCTGGTTTCTCGTGCGGCGTTAGGACAGCAGCGTTCCCAGGGAGGTTTTGCTTTCCCTTCGGTATCAATACGCTGCCGGCTATTGGCCCTGCGCTTCCTGTTGCGCCTCGTACAAGGAGAGGAATCCCCCGCGCGAACTCTGGCATATTATTTTCTAGGCACTCACCTTCGGTATTTATTGCCTAATGTGCGCCTTAATCAAGGCCCACAATCATTAGTACTTCCTTCGTTTTATGCAACAGCTGTCGCGTTTTTTCGTCATTTCCAGTCGACTTGCCCTGATTTAGATGTGTTAGACAATTCTATCGTTGACACAACAGCCGCGTTGTTGCTCCCGTTAGTTCCTCCAGCACGCCAGCACTCGCTCTAGTCGTGTGTCTTGGAGCACGCTGATGGCATCATTTCTACCTGGCCACCTCCGGGACTTCATGTGGCGGCTTGGGTGGGGCGTTCTTCCTACCCTTGACCGACTAGAAAGGTGGAGAATAGTCCAGTCATCAACATGTCCAAACTGCTCCCTACGGGAAACAAATCAGCATGTGTTAAAGCAATGTGTCGTTGCTCGTGTTTTCTGGAGGGCTGTGCATGCAGGATTTCGTGGCCTCGGAGTAAACCGCTTTGTTTCTTCTGGACGTTGTTCTCGAGGCCGCTTTGCCTGCCTTCTCATTGTTGCTGGTGCCTACTGTCTTTGGCGTAACCGTTGTGAAGCTGTTGCAGCAGGTCGTCGCTGCCGTGCTCTCTTCCCGATTTTGGAGCGACTGTACAAAGAAATAATATCTGTGTTGTCGGAGGAACTCTTCTTTCTGGGTGAGGAGGAATTCCTTCGACACTGGTCCTGCCGTTTTATGTTCATCTGTGAGAGACGTGTAAGGCTTGTTTTCAGGCCTGCCTGGGATTGGTAGGTTAATCTTTGTTTAGTAGTCATACAAATACCTTGTAAATACTATGTAAATATCTGACATATTGATCTCTACATTTCATTTGTGTGTTCTTCGTTTACCATGTATTGTGCATATGTAGACATTGTTTTTGTAACAATTCCTGTTTAGTTAGGTAAGTTGTGTATGTTGTATTCCGTTTACATATGTACACATATCTTTTTGTAACAACTTTTGGTGTGTCTGTGGATGTTGTGTTCTGTCGCAATGTTCTGTTGGATTGTAATTGATGTTCACTGTCTGTGAGAATAGATTTCTCTAAACACACAATATGACACTTGATAACTCGGATAATTAAGATGTGTTCTCTAGTGCTGGCCAGGCCATGCATTGTTTAACCGTATCAACGCTCGTTAATTCGGCTCATATTTTGCTGCGGTGCGGTTAATGCGAACGACCCTCGAAGCGCGGAGGGAGCGAGGTGCCACAAACGTGGGACGCAAATGAAGTGACATGGCATTTGCGAACATTCCAAATAACCGAAGGATTCAGTACGGTGTGATCATCATCAGCGAGTAGTTGGAAGGTAATTAAGTATGAGTTCAGAGCCAGCTTCTGGTTGAAAGACGGTGGCCTTGAGCAGCATTTGCCCTGTGAACGAAGTCTTTTATGACAAAACATGAGTCTTCCTCAAAAATTCTATGCAAAACAATTACTGGATTTACATATTCCTGAGGAAAATGAAAGTACTTTGAATTATTAAACACTTTACTATTTTCTTGATAACTTCAATAATTCACTATTCTGGACAGTTTTGGCAGTCCATGAAATCAAAATTAATAAGCATTTACTGCATTGCTACAAGGCTAATGTTGCAGTCTTTCCAGAAAAGGACACCCAATTCCAAAGGTAGACTGTGTAAAAACTCTAAAGCTCTTAATGCCAAAGCTGTAATTCAGAAGCAATGAAGAAACTCAAAACACATGCACAAACTTCGCACATGCCTACTGCCAATGTTGCAAGCAGAAGGGAAGGGGAAACTCAAGGAGGACAGCCTACTCAAGAGTATTCAAGGCCTTCTTCATAAATCATGTTATTTACAGGAAGCTTTTTTCACAAGTTAAGTGTAAAGCTCAGAAGAGCAAACTTGGCTACCCTCACTAGGTCCATTCACTTTCCAATAAATACTCAGCCTAACACAGCCCGTTAACACTAACTATTGTTGCTAGGCGTTCACGACATAATTGATTCTTGACGAGGCAGGCATACCGCCTATGCAAGTACACTTCACAGGTACCCCCTGTCTGGGAAAGCTAAAGAAAGTATATTGGTAGAACCCATCCTATGAAAAATTAATTCAATATTTAATCAGGATCAGAGAATATCACTAACAGAAACCATCCTTTAGGAAAATCAAGCCATACGATACCGGCTCTCTCTCCGTTGACGCGGCCAAGTACGGCCGAGAAGGTAGGCATGCAACCTCGGTTGAAGACGTGCATGGAACACTTATTAGTGCAGCTTCTGTTTGAATGAAACAAAAGCTATGGGTCCATCTATCCACTTTATAGGATATATACCTCTATAAAGTGGACAGAAGAAGGACTACTAACGTAGTTCCGTGGTTTCAAAGGTCGCCTGTTCGGTCCCTGCCGGAGGCATGTTGTATTTTTGTCCACCTTTTTTTGTTCACAATTACATTTTAACTACTTCTAATACCATCCCCCTTACTTTCCTGGGCATCATTGTCTATGAGCTCTCACTGATGATATGTGGGGTTTAACATCCCAAGACCACCATATTATTATGAGAGACACCATAAAAAAGGACTCCGGAAATTTCGACCACCTGGGGTTCTTTATCGTGCACCCAAATCTGAGCACACAAGTCTACAGCACTTACGCATCCATCGAAAATGCAGCCGCCGCAGCCGGGATTCGATCTCCTGACGTGCCGCTCAGCAGCCAAGTACCTTAGCCACTAAACCACCCCGGCAGGGCTGTAAGCTCCAAGGTGGAAACTTTTTGAATTACTGTTGATCATGTGATGCCATAATGCCATTATTTTCTTCTTAAAACAGCAATGGAAAATGGCACAAGCAAGAACAACAGTCCCCATCAGTTGGTTAGATTATAGAGTACAACATCTTAAAGCAACTCGGGCTGCGACAAACACCACAACAATGGACTTGGGATTGCAGTCAACTGGGGTTCTCTCTAGTCTGCACTCACAGTGCACAATACATGTGCCTCTACCGTTTCACCGCCGTAGAAATGCGAACGTCAAGGTTAGTATCGAACTCATGTATTTTGGATCAGCAGCCAAGCACCGAAATGATTAAGCCACTATGGCAGTATTTCATGTCGCCTTAGCTTCATGGCAGGAATTGTGGCCCTCCTGTGAGAAATATAATGCAGCAGCCTTACCATACCCTATTTCTTTACTTTCACCAATAAGAATATCATTAGCTTTAATGCAGAATTACATCTTTTAAGTAAAACTTCCATAGGACCGTTGTAATCAGAGTACAGAAACGTCAACAGTGTAGCAAGTTACTTGAAAAAAATAACAGGTTGTACAGTTAGGGCCCTTGAAAATGAGAAGCATGAAGAGCGAGACAGACACTGACTTGCAACCTCGAATTATATACCTTAGTCAGTCTCTGTACTGTTGTTCATGCCATTCCTAGTTTTTTATGGGCATGTACCGATGAGCCCAAAGACGCACTCTAACGTCATTGGGAGTTTCCAATATTGTCATTACTCAAACCTCGATATAACATACCCAGATATAACAAAATATTGGCTATAAAGAAGTAAATGAGGAACAGTTTTGCATTAGATGTAGTGTTAGGAATATACTTTTTTAACAAACTTTCCCTTATAACAAACATATTGTCGTGTAAAATGCTAACTGTTTTCATGAGGTTCTAGTGTAACAAACGATAGTTACCATCTAGAAATATAGGTGGTATCAACACGTCATTATTTTTAATGCCATTATTTTTAATGCCAGCTACAGAAATAAATGACAAGGAAACACGAAGAAGACTTCTCAGTTGCTCAGTTGTATTTCACTTCAACAGCATGTAAAGCCGTGATTACAACACACACACATATGGGAGTTGGGATGTGTGAAAGAAGGTGCGAGATTTTGCCCATCATGATGTTAGCCCCAACCACGCTCTTTAGCTTTCCTGTCTTTTCTTATCTTACCAGATCAAATGAGCATTAAGAACCCCATTTGTAAGGCTTTTAGCCTCAGGCTTGACGGTAAACACATTGTAGGAATCATGTCACAGATGATGAAGCAGTGCTCGCTAGAACAGGAAAAAGTATCACGTGCATCAGGAGGAGGGTGATAGGTGATTTATACGGAATTTTCAGGTGTAAACATGTCACAATCACGAGGAGGCAATTTGGGTCATCAATCAGTCCAGCTCGTAGCAATGCCCCAGAACCACCACCTGTACAAAGCCAATTGTTGATACAGTGCATGCAGCGACCTTCAGAGGCCGCCGTATCCATCGTATTGACTGGCACCAGTTGGGTACTCGCTGTACTGGTCGTACGCGCCTCCGTACTCGTCGTATCTGCCGTTGGGGCCTCCGGTGACTTCGCTTTTTGAGTAGTCTGTTTTCGGCCTCTTCAGCAATGGTTCGTCGCTCTGATACCCCTGCTCTGTGACGGGCCATTGCTTGTCCTTCCGGTGGGCTTCTGTCTCCAGGTGGAGGAGCTTATACTCCATGCTCTTGAAAAGCACAATGCCGCAGTACTCGCAAGAGAGATCTTCCGCCGGCGCCTGATTCGAACCGCTGACTGAAGAAGCAGAGCCGTCGAGCGGCTTTGCCGATGACACGTCGGTTGATTCCTGAATGGTGCCTTGACTCTTGAGGGCCCGCTGGTGCCTTTTTCCCTGCCACACAAGAGGCATGATACAATGAATCAATTTTTATTCATAGTACAGGGTTAAACTTTGCAATGAAGACAATAGGCTTAATGCCTGAAAGGGACCTCCAACCCAAAACAAGTTGGCACACAAGTACTGGCAACGTAAGCTGAAGCCATCACATAGATTAAAAAGTTAAATAAAGAAACACAGAGGAAAGTAAATGCCCACATATAGGATTGAATGCTTTTACAAAGGCAAAAACCCGCTCGCAGGAATGCATAAAATCGCGAAGATGGCATTGTTGTGCACACACATCACCATGCCTAAACAAAAGGCAACACTGAAATTGAACCCACACCTGCCCCCACCACCTTGGGTGCAGGTGTGGCATTGAAGCAATGCCACTACCGCAAAGCTAACAGGCACGGCTACTCTTCCGTGATGCAGTCACAGTAGTGCATGAGGTATCAATAAGGGCATTCAATTGGTGAAATTTCAAAACTGAGTAGTGTTTATAAGTAACTAGCTTTCAATATTCAAGTCCAGAATGCTTCCTAGCATCAAAATTAAAAACAAAGAACTTGTAACTACTAGCAAAACAACAGTAGGGATTTCCAACCTCCAAGGAGACAAAAGAATATAAAAATAAATTGAGGTGTAAGAGGGAGCAAAGGCGATTTCATAGGCATTTGTACATCACCATATTGCTCTAACTAAAAGAACTGTTCGTGAAAGAAAAACACACTTCGAAAAACAGAACAGGCACAAAAAGGATCGGCAAGTCGCTATTCTACCTTGACGTTTCGAGTGCCCCTCAGCAAGACAAAATAAAGTTACATGAACTACCGTATATACTCCGATAAGGGGCACACTTTTTTTTTTCGAAAATTTCGCTAGGTCCCTTACACAAATCAGGCCGATGACAGCTCAGAAAAAGTCTGTACTCTTTATGCAACAGTAGCAGTGTGCAAGAGAGTCACAAATGACATGCCAGGAATGTTTCAATTCAGATTCCATTTCGCTGTCGCAGTTCTCGTTCTCGGAGAAGCTCGCCTCGGCGCCGTGTATTCCCAGAGACGGTCATCTTTGGTGCCGTTCAAAATTCGAAATTCCGGTTACCTTGAAGCTTTTTGCAACTACTTCTACTGACATGGCACGCCACGCATTCAAAATCCATTCACACACCTGTTGGAGCGACGCCCGCTTCAGCCGTCCTGTAGCTGTCTTCTCATGGACGCCTCAAGCTATCCATTCATAGTAACATCGGCGAAATTCTACTTTGAATGGACAGTTAACGCATACACTGAGTGGCTGCAGCACACTTGTAAGGCCTCCAGGAATAACGACCAAGTCTGTACGAGTTGTGGCAAGTCGGTTCTTGACGTGGTCGGTCAAGTGGCCCCTAAACTGTCCAAAACAAGGAGGGCTTTCCGTTGTAACAGCCCTCCAGGTCTGTTTGCCCGGACAGTTTTAATCCAGTCAACGACCATGTTCCTCGGACATCCAGCCCTTCTCTTGAGCATGTACGACGATTCCCTGAGAAAACTTCTATTTTGGGAGAGTCTTCTTTTTAAATATGACGTAAGGCGGAAACTTCCTGCCATCTGCCGTGATGCACAACATCACAGTGCACCTTTGACGTTCTGCACCGCTGGTGCGCACAGACACACTTTCCGCACCTTTCAAATCCACTGTGGTGCTTTTCGGTGCACAGGTGTCTGGTCCGCATTCTCTATTCGAGACAGGACGTATTCATGCTCCCTCCCAAAAGCATTCACGAAGCGATGAAACTTTATGACATGGTCTTCGCACTCGCGCGGCGGCAGTTTTTGGCAAATCATCATTCAGCACTGAATAGAAAGCTCGTTACGGTTCATAAACCGCATAGCCCAGCCCCGACTTGCCTTGAATTGTGCCTGGGTATTTCCATGTGGCGAGAGATGTTGAGGGCTTTGACGCGTATCATGTCAGTCGATACGGCGTAGCTGTCTCTTCGTGTGTCAACGACATAGTTAAGAAGCTCGCTTTCAGGTTGCGGGTACTCGCACTTTTTTCCCGCAAAATGCCTTTCGACTCCTGTTAGTAGCGGCGACGGCATCTTTTTGCTTCATGCAGTAACACACGTGCTTCTCATCAACGTCGTACTTCCGTCCAGCTTCACACTTCCCATGCTCCTCGGCATAGTCGATCACTAGCAGTTTAAATGCTGCAGTGAATGACCTCAAATGCTGGCCCATTGTCCGTCACGTGCGCTGGCTTCTGCAGGGCTCACTACTACTAACAAAGCGACACCGACGATACCGTTCTGAATTCGCGCTGCCAACCTATCGACATGATGCTAGGAATGATGCCAACAAAAAGGCCACACAAGGCAAATATGGCGGCGTGCTGTCAACTGCGTGGTCGGTGCGTCGACGGAAGTAGAATAAAAGCGGAAAAGCCCGCAGTGCCATCTGGCTATAAATGAACTAAATACATTTTTCTGGCAGGACTTTTTGAATTTTTTTTTTTCGAAATTTCTGCTTTCAAAGTTGGAGTGCGGCCCTAACATGAGGGCGGCCTTTACACGAATATATACTGTGGCCTGTAAACCCTTTACGATGGGAGTGTGAAAATAGGTTAAACCTCCAAATAATTAATTGAGTAGTGCTCTATGCCATACAGTTGTCAAATCGAATGGTGCATGATCGAAATACAGACTGTCTTAGAATCAGTGCCTAAGGTAAAACCCCAAGAAACAATATGTTCTAACAGCGATGGGTCACTTGACTTGTTTTATTCATTGAATTACCAGCACATACGAGGCCGGGGATTTTACAAGACCATCCGTGCTACACAATCCGTGCTACACAATTAACTGGATGAAGGCATTTGGAGCATAGCCTTGAAAAGTTCATTTTGCAGAAATTCTGGTGTTGGTGTGGGAGCTATCGGTTGTGAGTGAAAATTCAGCGTTTCCCATGAGCCAAAAAGTGAGAATGAAGAAACTAAAATAAATTCTACAAATATTCAATTCAAGTACAGACTTTTTGGGTAACAAGCAGGTGTTCTGCCTAACAGTCATGTCATTGCTTGAAGCAGCATATGAATGGCACATTATAAGAGAGTCTCCTCAACGCTCTTAATATTGAGTGGCAGAAGTACGCCAAGCATCAGAACACGTGAACTGCACGAGTAGTTGTTTTGAAGGTGAACACATTACAAAGTGCTCAGACATAACTATTCATAATTGTCAGCAACAGCGTCAACGAAACGTGCAGCTGCACAGGTTGCCTTAAGGATGCATAGTGCACACTTTGCCGATTCCCAACCGGATGAGTGAACATTTTGCAACTGTACTTGCAGTAGACATTCTAGAATAGTTCAAAAGGCTAATGTTATGTGCATAGGCGTTGGTTTCGTTTCGGCATGGCTGAGGCCTGCACCAAGAGCCAATGCCAGGTAAGCACTTGATAAGGCTACGTGTACGGTGCCTGATTAGACTATCATGTTCTGCTCTTAAAAGTGAAGCTCCAGCATCTTCGAAGTATTAGATGCAAAGAATCTTTTGAGCAAGCCAGATCCAATGGTATCCACACTCCATTGCGCAAAGGCATCGCCTCCCGTTTTCTTTCCCCTCCAACGCTCCCCTCACTCGTCCCACAACGTCCACGCAGGCAGCGTCTGTCCACGCAGGCAGGGTCTGCTAGCAAGCTTCTGAATTGAAGAAACAGACAGCTCCCACTGCACAACCATTCACTGGCCATCCCTTATATACAGGCACTAGATATTAGCCTCTAAGGTTTGTCGGTGGGAGATTTCTCCTATGCCTTGTTGAATGATCAAACTTTGCAGCATGAGCATTAACTGAAGCCGACTGCAGGCCTCTGTGTCCAATTGCGTTCTTATGTTTCTCACTGCCCATTAGCAGCAATTAGCATGCTCTGGTAGGAAACACCGGTCCATCACAGTGTGCTGTGTGCCTTCCCAGGTTTCTCTCCTGTGCAACGCAGCGATGAGCGCCACATGGACACTGCCGCCAGTGTAAGCATGAACGCTTGCTGCTTCACATCTACACATGGTTCTCTTTGATGGGAGATGGTGTATTTTTGGCTCCAAACACCACTTTAATCAAAGCCAACGTTCAGTCTTGGACTTTCATTAGAAACAAAAAAGCCCTTCATGTTGTTTTGAGTAACATTCTATGTTCCTGTTACTGGGTTAGGCTACACTACGTGGATTTTTTACTATGCTGCAGCTGCACTGAGTCGGTTCCAATCTTGATTTCAAAACTACTGAAAAAGGCAATTGTGGGTGCATTCAGCTTCAGAAGTTCTACTTTATAGCACAAGCTCACAAATAAGAGCACAACAAGGTAGTGCATTTGGGTAAACTTTTCTCACCAGATACAGTACACATCACTAATGTTTACCTACCTTCGGCGATAAGGCTTGTGCTGTGGCAAGTGGTTAATCTGTTTCATTACACATTTAGCATTATGTGGGTGTTATGTTGAACACTCCTAAATGTTGATGTCATTGTTTCACTTAAAAGAATCATGATCTATCTCTTGGGCTTGTGCTTTACATTTGTGCACGGCCAATAGAGTCTAAAAGCGAAGTGTAAGGTCGTAACTTCCCCAGGCGTCCTCCTTTCATACAAGAGGCCTGTGCTCACTCTCTTCAGAGCCGCCACGGCCTATTCTCATAGGTTGAACAGCAGACAGCACATGGCCAACAGCAAATATGAAGTGAGAGCAGCGTTTTGATCAGACAAGTATTTTACCAAGGGGTGGCACCACATGCCAGCACCATGCAGTCTGCTGACATCACACAGTAAGCCAAACCACAGCCCAACTAAAAAAGCACACGAGCGTTATGATTTCTGACCTTCGCTATCGAGCAGAACATGATGGCAGCGTTTCTACGCTGTTAGCGTCCCTGCTCGCCCCAAGGGGTGCAGCGACCTTGCCGTAGTAGTGTGTTCTTGCTCCCTACTGCTTGTCAAGAAGGAAGGCTGCACCTAGTTTTGCATAGACTGCAATG